CCTGCTGAATACCACCTCTGATTCTAGTGCTTAATACATATCATGTGGTCTGCATATATAATTTGCTTAGCAATACAAATTTCATTCTTAATCTTCACCCCTTTTCTTCCCAACCATTGGTAAAATAAATTCCATGTTTGATAATATCCTACATCCTCTTTCTGATTACTTTTCAATGTCAATATCCATTTCTGCACAATCTGGTATTTTCTTGACTATTTCTTCATCTCATGCTATAACGTCATTTTTCCAATATTGTGCAAAAATAATAGTTGCTGCTGTTAAGACATGTAATATTAAATCCTATTCCATTCCATTTCCATTTCTATTCTATCCCATCCCATCCCTTCCACCTTAATACTTTAAAAATAACATGGAATCTTATCAAATCTTATTCCTTGTGTTTAGCATGTCTACCAAGGATTTGGAAGATGGCCAGCTGCCTCCACAAAGACAGCACCAATCTATGACTCGGTAGCAAACTACCTGCCCCTGGATACAGAGCTGCCTTTTGAGCAACAAGGGGAACTGGTCTAAGTGAGCTGCTCTGTGTTTCTTTGACCCACCGTCCAAAATTACATTGTCTCCGGGCAACTCTTAATTCCTTCTCTTTATGCTACATTCCTTATCCATGTAGAGACACTAAATCCAGCGGTGCGGCCTTTGGGTGGATTCACACAACATAACTAAGCCTGGATTAGTGAGACACAATTGCTGAGGTTTGCAAAATAAATAAATAAATGGTGCGCTCAACCTACAAAGGATAATGTGACACCTTTGTTTTGACTGCTGGTCGGATTCTTACAAATCAAGTGTAAAATGTTTGGCAAAACAGCCAAGGGCCAAGCCTTCTCCTTTTTCCCTACTGGAATCCGATGCTTCAAATCCTCTCCAGCTGTTACTTTGCGTGGCTAATTCAACTGTTTTAATCTCAGCTGGGTTTAATAAAAGCTGCAACTTTAAGACCTGCTACGTAGGCTTGAGGGTAGTTGTTGCTGTTTTTTTCTCCCCTTCCCCAACCTTCCTCTCCCTTCACTTGTGTGTGTGTGTGTGTGTGTGTGAGTGTGTGTTGTCTTTTGTAGCTAAACCTCAGGGCAGGGACATTTCCACCACTCAAACTGGAGTTTTCTTTTGGCTTAAAAAGCTAGGTTCAACATGCAAGAAATCCATAAAATATAAATAAGCCGAAGGCAGACCACACATGGCTCGCCCGGGGATGGAAAGGATACCATAAACCAGAGACAAGTGTAGAGTTGTTGTTTTTTTTAAAAAGGAGGTTTATTACACTTCTGCTCCAGTAGCATATGTTCCGTTGTAAAGCCAGCTTGATCTTTCCTCTGGTCAAGTTGTCTACCCTTGCAAAGCTTTCATCATGTCGAACACAGAGGGATGCATAGGAGCATAGCAGACCCCAAACAGACGGGGTGAAAGCACAAGACATCTATTCTCAGCCACGACAAGGTTAAAATGATGAAGCAAAGCGTCTTGATGCAAACCCTGCCCTCTCGAAACGGTGTTGTGGGATCACGACCGAGGGCAGAGTTTGCAACGCGACATGATTTCATCCCTTGCCCCCCCCCCCCCCTCAGATGCCGACAGCCGAAAATACCTTGTCTGCTTTGCATTGCTGGGCGATGGTCACACACTGGAGGCTTAATTAAGGTGGCTACTAAATGAACCCACATTGTGGGTTGGCATTCTTGAGCTGGGGTTCCTACGGGTACCCGTTAGATGTAAAGAACTAACCCCAGGGAAAAGCTAACCAAGCATTGTCGGCTGAGGTGGTCCTCAACTGGCCACAGTTCATTTAAGTGACTGCTCAAAGTTACAATGGCACTGAAAAATGTGACTTACGACCGTTTTTCACAGTTCCTGTCAATCCTGAAGCTGACCTGACGAAAGCCATTTTTTTATGCTTCAGTGTTGCCACACTGGAGCTGAGGTTAGGGTTAGGGTTAGAGTTAGGGTGGGATTTGAGATAAAGGGTTAGGGTGGGATTTGAGATAGAGGGTTAGGGTTAGGGTTAGGTTAGGGTTAGGGTTAGGTTAGGGTTAGAGTTAGAGTTAGGGTGGGATTTGAGATAGAGGGTTAGGGTGGGATTTGAGATAGAGGGTTAGGTTAGGGTTAGGTTAGGGTTAGGGTTAGGTTAGGGTTAGGTATGGGTTAGGTATGGGTTAGGGTTAGGTTAGGGTTAGGGTTAGGTTAGGGTTAGAGTTAGGGTTAGAGTGGGATTTGTGATAGAGGGGATTCTGTAGCCAAAGCAAATAATTTTCTCTTGGGAACCAAGGACATTCTCACACCTGGTCAAAGGAAGGCGGAGTGATGCTATCTGGCTGTCAGTCCGTGCCGTGATTGGACCATGTGACTGAGTGTTTGGAGAAAATAGAAAAACTCTTACTTTTAATTAGGTGAAAACCATGGTAGTTTTCAGAGTCAGGTTTCTCCAGTTCTGTGCCAATGTGATCTTTCCAATAAAGCTGTTCTTTGAGGAATCTACTTGCCTTAGAGCAGGGGTCCCCAAACTTGGCAACTTTAAGACTTGTGGACCAATTCCCAGAATTCTCCAGCCAGCTATGCTAGGCTGGTTGGAGAATTCTGGGAGTTGAAGTCCACAAGTCTTAAAGTTGCCAAGTTTAGAGACCTCTGCCTTAAAGTTTTGCTTGCTATGGATCTATTACTTGGAACCCTGACAGTTGTGACCTTTGCAGCATCCTCACAGCCATGTGATCACTTGGCCACTGGTTCCTATTTATGATGCTTGCAGTGTCCAGAGTGTCCAGTGTCCCCTTTTGCAACCTTCTGACAAGCAAAATCCATGCAAAATCCAGATTCACTTAACAACCAGGTGACTAACTTATCAATGGGGCAAAACTCACTTAACAAAGCCAGATGGGAAGGTCACAAACTGGCAGTCACGTGACCCCAGGATGCTGCAATTGTTCTAAATGCATGTTGGTTGCCAAGCATCCCAATTTCGATCACATAACCATGGGGAGAAATGTGATGATCGTTAAGTGTGAGGAGCGGTTGTAAGTCACTTTTCTCCGTGCCATTTCTAGTTTTAACCTCGAGGACTCACTGTAATTCCTACCAGATACTGGGGAGGACAGGAAGTGAGTTGGGGATTGGAGAAGGAAAAACGGGAATGATTTTTTTTTTCCCCACGTTGTGGAGATACAGCTTTCCGAAATGGAAGGAAGATAAATGCAGTCTCGGAGAAGGGCTCAAGACTGCTTCTTTGGCCCATGTAGGGTTTTAAAAGCGAGCCAGAGATCTGGCTACAGCTGTCTGGACACAGATGCTGTGACAGGGTTCAATGCAGGCCAAAGCCTAAATAATAATCACAATGAAAAGTAACTTCCAAAGAAATCCTGGCAGTTCTGAACACACCCACTTTCCTTCAAGGATGCTTCTGAACTACCAAGGATCACAGTGCAACTGCCTTTGCTCGCCTCTGGCTAATTGGAGGCATAATGAATAGCAGTGCCAGCGGTTCTTCCTCTGTAAGAGGACTCTTCTGCCTTAAAAGGCTAACTTGTCATTAACGCCAACTTAATAACGATGTGATCCCCATCCCTGGGAGAAATCCTGGGAATTTCCATTTGCTGGGCATTGCCAAGACTTCCACGAGAAGTCCCAACCCTGCTCACAAAATAATGCTTCCTTGGATTCTCCCGGTTGCACCAATCTGGATTGAATCCAATTTCATTTTGAATGAAAATACATACATACAATACATTCTGCAAATGCCTATGCTGTGAAAAGAGACCTTTTCCCAGGAGTCGTTTAGACATTGATGTGCTTGAGTCATTCTTAAGAAACCCTGCAAACCCCCTCTTAGGGATCTGTTTTTTGACTGGATTCAATGGGGGTGTTAGTCTACAATGGATTCCGTCTTAGATCTACTTCTGAGGAGCCAGCCCAATTGAATACAACTGGCCTTGCCCCCGCTCGAATACCCATATATAGAATTGCATTGTCGGTTTTGCTTTAAGTAATCACTCAAGCTGGACTCCCTAACGATACAATCCAAGTAATCAATGAACCAATATGGTTCAAGTAAAAGAAAGTTCAGAGATTCAACAAACCAATATGATTCAAGAATAATAACAACAATAAAGGCTCAAGGGTTCTGCGAACCAATATGGTTCGAGTTAACACCCATTTCATGGAAATGATTAAAACGTAGCGGATAAGGAATAAGGAGGGTTGTACAGACTGTCAAGAGGACCAAACGAGGGAGGTAGCTGGATGCAGAATTCAGATCAACTTTTCTTCAAATATGTGGAGTGATAGATTCCAACCTGGACTGACCCAGAGGGCGCCAGGTTGGAGAAAATAGACCCAGATGCTCAGATCATCATTCTTGCTAGTGACATGGAACCTCATGGGATTGTCTGGTGTGGGTTTGCATCTGGGATGCCATCAGCCTGTGGTGGAAGCAGTTGTGATGGAGGAGATAAACCCAGCCTTTCCACTGATGGTTTATGGTTACAGTGGGTCATCTCTGCTACTGACCCATGGCACCCACATCTCCTAGGAGAAGATGCTTTTTGGTGTAAAGACATGAGGTTCAGCTTGGTGTCCCAATCTTTATCATCATCTTCTTTTAATGACCCCGTAATCCCTTATGGGGTGGAGTCTGGGCAACTGATTGGAGTGGAGTGTTTACTGGCCAGCTGCCCTGCCTGTCACTAATGTGGAGTTTTGTTCAGCAGATAAATTCTCATCGTGCCCAGAGAGAGAAATATCTACCTAGGATCGAGCTCACAGCCTCCGGACTGTGAGGCCAGAGCTCCACTTCCAGGCCACTGCGCTACTCTGGTGTCCCAATCCTTATCCAATAACTTAATTAAATATAGCAAGCAGAAGACAGCAGATTCCATCAGGGGTGGTGGGGAGAACAGAAAGGAGAAGAAAGAAACAGAAGACATTCACGCTTCCCCGCTCTTCGAGGTGGAGAAAGAGACAGGTTGGTTTCCCTCTCTCCAGGATGGCTGTCAGGTGAAGGATGGGGGATACACCAACCCAGGGCCTGAGCGGCGGCTTCGAAGCAAAAGACGCAGCTAGAGAGAAGAGGAGACAAAAGAGTTTGTCAAAGCTGCACGTTGCTCTTCCACCTTTCGCCTGTTCCCAGCCCTACCTGGATCATTCAAAAGCCCAACTCACCTGCTCGGCTGCTGGTCCTGTAGTCAACAGGTGAACGGGCTGCTCGTTCTCTGGGTTGCGGGCTGTGGGATCGGCCCAGTGGTCTAGCAGGAGGCGGACAATCTGTTCTTGATAGGGATGGCCATGTAGACCAGCGGCCATATGCAGAGCTGTGTTGCCATGGGCCTGAGGGTAGAGAAAGGCCCTCGATCGTAAGGCAACGCTCAGCTTCCTGTCGCCTTATCAAGAGAGGCAGATCAGGCAAGGCAACCACTGGAAAAGTCTACGCGATGACGTTTGGGTGATGAAGGTGAACCTGCACAGCACACCTTCTTCAGGGAGAAAGACTCCCATCCCCGTCCCAATTCCATATGCAACATGAACGTTACGGCTCTTGAGGTACAGCAAGATGAGAAATTCATTCATGCATCTCGAATACCACTGCCAAGCCACCCACGCAGTTCTCATCTGTTTGACTTCTGCACCACGTGTTGTTGAGATAGGCTTTCTTTTCCCCTCTTGCAGCTGAGCAGGCAAATGGTTTTTAAAAGGAGAAGTACCTTGTCCAAGACACCATGCCTCAGCAGTCATTCTCTCCCTCCCTCCTCTCCTCTCCTCGTGCTCTTTCTCTCCTCTTCTCTCTCTGTCTCCTCTCTCTGTCTTTCTGTCTCTCTCTTCTCCTCCCTCCCTCCCCCCCTCTCTCTCCTCCTTCTCTCTCTCTTTCTCTCATCTCCTCTCTCCCCTCCTCCTCTTCTCCTCTCTCTATCTTTCTGTCTCTCCTCTCCTCCTCTCTCTCTCTCCTCTCTCTGTCTCTTTCTGTGTCTCCTCTATCTGTCTTTTTGTCTCTCTCCTCCCTCCCCCCTCTCTCCTCTCCTTCTCTCTCCTCCTCTCCTCTCTCTCCCCCTTCTCTCTTTGTCTTTCTGTCTCTCCTCTCCTCCTCCCCCCCTCTCCTCTCCCCCCTCTCTTTCTCTCTGTGTGTCTGTCTCTCCTCTCCTCTCTCCCCCTCCTCTCTCTGTCTTTCTGTCTCTCCTCTTCTCGTTCTCTCTCTTTCTCTCTTCTGATCTCTTCTCCCCGCCACTCTCTCTGCCTCTGTCCCTCCCCCGCTCTCCCTCTGTGCATTTTTCCTCAAATCAAATGCCTTGCAGATATTCTTTACTTGCTGCTTCCAAGACCTGCAGCATTGACATGTGCTAACTTTAACCAATGGCAGTTATACGGGCAGTCCTCAATGTACATTAGCATCTGTTCAAAGTTACGATGACACTGGAAAACAAGCGACTTACAACTGGCCCTTGCACTTATGATTGTTACCGCATCCCCATGGTCACATGATGAAAATGTGGGTGCTTACATGCGTTTACAAGGTGTTTTGACAAGGTGTACAATCTGTACAATGTGTTGCTTACATGTGTTTACAATGGTTGCATTGTCCTGGGGTCACGTGATCATCATTTGTGACCTTCCCGGCCAGCTTCTCACAAGCAAAGTTAATAGGGGAAGCCTGATTTGCTTAATGACTACATGATTTATTTAACCGCCATGGCAAAAAGCGGTTATAAAGTTGGGAGCAACTGTCTTGCTTAGCAACAGAAATTCTGGTCCCAATTGTGGCCATAAATTGAGGACTACCGGTAGACACAGGTTGGAAGCTATAAGAAAACACAATCACACCCTTCTCTGTGCCCAGCCTTGGGAACAAGGCTTGTGAATGGGGGAATCCTAGTTGCTATTGATGGTTTTCTTAGATTATAATGTAGCATACAAGGAAAATACAAAAGCAAATCACAGGAAAGATAGGGAAGGAAAAAGAGAAGAGAAAAGTGGGGGAAAGAATCGGGGGAAACAAAAGGAAAGGCTTTGACTCCTGACTCCCTTCGGAGCAGTAGAACAAAGCACTACGTAAACCAGTGGTCACCAACTGGTGGGCCGGGGACCACTGGTGGGCCGTGAAAATTTTTTGATGGTCTGCAGAGAAATGTCCCCCCCAAAGCAATTAATCCAGGCTGCATAGGAACACAAGGTTGTACCGCCCATGTGGCCCGTCTACCTGCTGGCCCCCACCCTTCAGCCGAGCACAAACCTTACCTTGAGTAGAACCATGCGAGCTGGAAGGTAAGACCAACGGTGTGGATGGAAATCCGCCCTGGGGTGGCTTGCTGACATTGGTGGGAAAGTCAGTCCCATATTCCAGAGCTGCAGTAGTCACAGGACTGGCCCTTTGGTCATCCCGGAGCAACTTCTCCAGTCCATGGCAGGCTGGTGCACCTGGCCGGAGGAGCAGCTGCTCTGGGATGACCAAAGGGCCAGTCCTGTGACTCCTGCAGCTCTGGAATATGGGACCGACTTTCCCACCAATGTCAGCAAGCCACCGTCAGTCAAAATTCATATCAGTAGATTTAAAATTAAGAGTTTGGCAGTCCCTGAGGTCCAAAAAGTTGGCGACCCCGATGTAAACTATTATGTAAAAGTAAAAAGTTGAGGTTAATGCATACCTTAATGTTCACAAAATTCTGACGTTCTTGTCCAGGCAGTTTGAGAAGGAACTGGACCAAAGGCAGGTTTGCAGCCTGAACAGCCAAATGCAGGATGGTTTTACTGCTCTTCAAGTCCTAGCCAAAGTCCAAGGAAAACAAAGGTCAGATACCCAGGCAATGGTGGGTTCTAGGGAATTTTCCATTTTGGTCTAAGGCAGGGGTCTCCAACCTTGGCAACTTTAAGCCTGGTGGACTTGGACTTCCAGAATTCCCCAGCTAGCTTTGAATTCTGGGAGTTGAGGTCTGCTAAGGCTTAAAGTTGCCAAGGTTGGGGACTCCTGGTCTAAGGGGGGGTGGGGGGTGGGGGTTTCTTTAGATGGCTTCCAATTGGGGAAAGTCAGATCTGTCGCACTGATGTCCATCTTCTGATGGAAGGCCTGGTCTTTTACCTCCCTACCTTTCCTTCTGGTGCTATTGTAGCCACTCTTCCTGGTAGAGCCAGGAGTCCTTCTACTTTGCCCATGATATGAATCACTTACCTGGCTCTTGTAATCAGCACCAAGTTGCAAAAGCCGCTGAATACAGAGCAGTAACTGCTGCAGGCGATGTTGGGACAAGGGCTCCATGTTTTGGGTCTGGAAGGCAGCATTGTGAGCCATGACGGCACAGTGCAAAGGAGTGAGACCTGTACAAACACCGTAGAAAATGTGTCAGACAGCATGCCTCTCTCTGTCTCTCTGTGTCTCTGTCTTTCTCTCTCCTCTTGATAACTTGATTCGTGACTAGTCCCTGCAGTTTTTTTGACAGGATTTTTGGAAGTGGTTTGCCATTGCCTCCTTCCTAGGGGTTTGGAGAGAGGCCCAAGGTCATGCAACTGGTTTTGTACCTAAGGTGGGACTAGAACTCACAGTCTCCTAGTGATTGGCCTAAAGTCACCCAGCTGGTGTTCATGCCTATTGCCTAAAGCAGGACTAGAACTCAAGTCTCCTGGCGATTGGCCCAAAGTTATCTAGCCAACTTTCATACCGAAGGCAGAACTCGGTCACACGTTTTGCTGGTTTCTAGACGGATACCTTAACCGCTATACCAACAAGGCTCTTAAATGTAGTCCAGCTGAAAATGGTTTTGAGAAAAATCAAAAGCTTTTATCATCTTGACATCAGGGTCGGCTCCCAGAGAGCTATGGATTCAGGAAGCCATTATGTAGACAACCAACTGCAAGCTTCTGTATTATCAGAGATGAGGCATCCGATTGTTGGGGGCCATAAGCTGACTCCGTAAATTGCTTAGAGAGGGCTGTAAAGCACTGTAAAGCAGTATATAAGTTTAAGCGCTATTGCTATCTGCATCCTCACTGGAACAGAAGAAGACAGTTAGAAGGAAAATCAGAAAGCCCTAAGCTCCAAGTGTGTGTGTGTGTGGGGGGGGGGGGGGGAATGACTTTAAATGTGAAATGGTTCAGCGGCTGGAAGTTTTGTAGCCCTGGCCTCTTCTCAATGAATCTTTCTAATGGGGAAAAATATATATGAATGCTTGGGGGGAAAAGAAATCACTTTTGGTTCAGGCAATTGCCAAGGAACCTGACGCTTACCTTCAAAATTTCTGGCCTCCACGTTGACAGGAGCACCCGTCATCATGACAGCCTAGAAAAGAAGCCGGGGGTGGGGGGAAATAATAAAGCTGATGTGTGTTTTGGAAAAAGATTTGTTTGAGTCATGAGATTTTCCATGCTGGCTCAGGATATCTAGGAAACCTACTTCCAGTATATCAGGAGCTCCTGGAGGTTGCGCTATGCAAAGCTTTAATGGGGGTCACTTTGAGGGAGGTGCAACCCGATCAGAGGTGGTATATTCAGCAGGTTCTGGCCAGTTCTGGAGAACCGGTAGCAGAAATTCTGAGTAGTTCAGAGAACCATCGAATACCACTTGTGGCTGGCCCCACCCCCACCAATTCTCTGCCTCCCATTGAGTCCCATCTGATTGGCTGGGTCTCCTTTGGTTGCCCTGCACAGGAGAACAGAGCTGCAAAGCAGGTTAGTGGGATGGGGAGGAAATGGGCTTTTGCAGTAACCTTCCCTCAGATGTGGAGAGGGAATAGAGATTTTACAGTATCCTTCCCCAGCCACGCCCACCAAGCCACGCCGACCAAGCCACACCCCGCCCACCAAGCCACGCCCACAGAACCGGTAGTAAAAAGTTTTTGAATCCCACCACTGAATGCAATCGCCATGTTGAAACAGATAAACCAAATCAAGCAAAGTGGCTTTTGTACTAGCCAGGTTAGAATTGCCCTGCCAGTTTAACAGATAGTCCTTGACTTATAACCATTTGTTTAGTGAGCAGAAGTCACAACAGCACTTAAAATAATAATAATAATGGACTTAGCAGGGCCAGTCCTCGCACTGATGAGCATTGCAGCATCCATCCAGTTCCATGATTAAAATTTAGGTGCTTGGCAACCAAGGTATATTTACGGTTGCAATGACCCAGGATCTTGTCATGTGTGGCTTTCCTTTTCCATCCGGTTTCCATCAAGGGAGGGTGGATTTGCTTAATGACCATGTGATTCATTTAACAATGGCAGCGGATTTGCTTAACAACCATGGTTAAAAACAGTCATAAAAGTGGGGCAAGACCCACTTAACAACCACCTGGCTTAACTGTGGAAATTCTGGTCGCAATTGTCGTAATTCGAAGGCTGCCTCTTACTTTGGCTGGCTTATCAGTGGTTTTCTAATCATGTCCCCAAACTGCATGGATTAGCAGGCTAACCTCACTTTAGTGCTTCTCTGATGCTTTGCTTGGAGCACCGAGACAGGTAGTCTGCTAAAGAGGTACTGGTAGTCCTCGACTTACAACAGTTCATTTAGTGACCAAAGTTACAATAAGTGCACTGAAATAAGTGACTTAGGACCTGTCATGGCCCTGTCAGAAGGAGGAAGATGAACAACTGACAGGGAGTGAAAGTGTGACTCCGTGGGCTGGGGAGGAAACTGGGGAAGGGCAAAGTCCGCCTGGGCAGAGCACGGAAAAGGTAGAACAAGGAAGAGGGGGTTCAGGTGAAGACCCAGGCCCACCCCTCTTCATCCTAGGGCATGTAGGGAGGAACGGAGAAGAGAGCAACGTGGGTTGCGTGGCTTACAGGGGAGGAAAGGGCCCTGATTCCCTTCATTAGCCACATCTGGGAAGACAGTTTGTAAGAAAGGCAGGCTGCATGCGACAGCTGTTGGGAGCAAACGTGAATTTATCTTGTGTTGTCCTTGCTTATCTGTGTTCCTGGCATCTTCCCAACCGCGTGAGTTTTGCCATGCCTTCAAGTCTGGAATTTTTGCTCTTGCGCTGCCAAACTAATCATCTCAGTTTGGCTTGATTGGACTTAAAATTACAGTTTGTGTTGACCATGTTTTGGACTTAATTCTCTGCAACCAAAGGCTGTTCCTGAGAGAGTTTTTCTCAAGCAAGAAAGTAACCTGGACATTAGCAAGTTGAAGCTAATAAAGAGATTCTTATTGATTATCTGACTTGGTTGCCTTTTTGCCATGCCCCAGCTCATCACAGGACCATTTTTCACAATTACGATAGTTGCAGCATCCCCGTGATCCAAATTCAGACGCTTGGCAGCCGGTTCATGTTCATGACCGTTGTTGTGTCCCAAGTTATGTGATTTCCCCTTTTGCATCCTTCTGACAAGTCAAGGGGGAAGCCAGATTCATTTAACAACCAGGTTACTAGCCTCTCAACTGCAGGGATTCACTGAACAACTGAGGCAAGGAAGATCGTACCACAGGGCAAAACCCACTTAACAAATGTCTCTCTTAGCAATGGAAATGGTGGGCTCGATTGTGGTCATAAGTCGAGGGCTATCTGTATTGTGCCTACTTTGCACAAGGCTGTTCTGGGGTGGAATACGCCAGCCTCACCTCGATGACACTGGGCAGTCCATAGGTGGCGCCAAGGTGCAGCACAGTCTGCCCCTTTTGGTCCATGGCATTGACATCTGCTCCCAGCAAAATCAGGTCCTTCACGATCTTCGGTTGGTTGGCTGCAGCCGCCACTAATAATGGAGTCTGGACACAAAGAAAAAGAAAATTGAAGTGAAGAAGCTTCTTGGATGAGAAGCGAAATGTTTTCAAATAAGACATTCCATTGTTACATCCTCAAACCCCCAAAACTTTAACTTCAAACTATCTGCTGTGGACCTCACTCCATTCCTAAGAGCTATGTAAGGGGGCGTGCATAAGCGCACCAGCGTGCTTATCGTCCCTGTCCCCATTTATTCATACTCATTTATTATGTATAGACTTAGACCTGTTTATACATAGGTTTATATGTTATGTTCATACTTATACTTGTTTTCTCATACATGCTTGACAAACTAAAATGAAGGAATGAATGAAAGAAGGAATGAATGAAAGAATGAATGAAAGAAGGAATGAATGAATGAATGAAAAAGCAAGACAATCCAGTTGCCTCTTGGGAAAGCTCTTTTGGGACAACCATGATCTGAACGGCTGAGAATCTCCATAGACCAGAGGTCTCCAACCTTGGCAACTTTAAGACTTGTGGACTTCAACTCCCAGAATTCTCCAGCCAGCAGAGGAGTTGAAGTCCACAAGTCTTAAAGTTGCCAAGGTTGGAGACCTCTGCCATAGACAATTGATTGAGGGCACAATCTTATCTTAACAGGTTGCCCGTATAAGGCAGCCCCCCAAATGGCAGCTCATTATGGAGGCAGGAATGGATGGAAGCGGCATCATAAGCTTTCGTAGCTCAATATCTGTCTAGCTCAGTGTTTCTCAAGGTGAAGATGTATGGATTTCAGCTCCCCAAATTCAACTTCTCCTAGTTCCCCATCACACCAACTTCCCCCTCCCGCCCCAAATCAATTCCCCATAGCTGACTGGAGAAGTCTGAGAATTGAAGCCTGCACATCTTCGAGCTGCCGAAATAGAGAAACACGGATTGCTAGCTTGTACAGCTGATAGTTTGAAGGGAGCTCTAGTCACAGTGTCATTGGGGATGGATGACCCTTGTTCCGACTGCTGCCCTGATCTGCCTATCCTGAAACTGAAACTCTGAATATCGTTACCAAAAAAAAAGGCACAATCTAATATTTGCATGTCGTGGGAACATGTGTCCAAATCTGCTTCCAAATGGCTTTTTTTTTAAAAAAGAAAACATTGTAATCTCAGATTCTTGCAGGACAAAGGCTGATGCTTTCCCATTCCAGTATAACATGGAGCAGCAGACGATGCTGGACAAGCTGTAGGGGTGATGGGAAGAGACTTCTTTCAGGCAAGATACCTTTAGCACAGCAGTGGGATCTTGTCTGTTCCACTACCGGTTTGCCTGCAGTGCCAATCAGCTGAGAGGATAAAGAAAAGAAAAGCCCAGGGGTGGGTGGAAGGGCCGATCCTGTGCTTTTCTCTTCTTTCTCCTCCCAGATGATGATAGGAGATTTTTTTTTTTTTACTACCAGGTCAGTTGAACCGGTCCAAACCGGTTGCACACCATCACTGCTTTAGCAATATCTGTGGACGGGGAGAGAACTTCCAGCTAATCCATGGACCAGGAGCCTTCAAACTTGGGCAACTTTAAGACTTGAGGACTTCAGGTCCTAGATAATCCCCAGACAGCAGGGCTGGTTGGGAAATTCTGGAAGTTTACGTCCACAAGACAAGTCTAAAAGTTGCCACGTTTGGAGACCCCTGTCGTAGAACGCACTCACCTTCCCCCTGTGTTCCTTGACATCCAACTGTCCACAATCTCGGAGCATTTCAGCTGCAGCATATGACAACGGACGGAGACCTTGGGCCACAAAGAGATGGAGCAACCTGGAGAAAAAGGGGTCAGAATGATCAAAAGTCCACCACCCTGCTTGGAGAGCCACTTCCCATGTCAACATCCTTACCCTCGCTCCTTTTTTTTTTTGAGTACTCTGACTTGAGAAACTTTTGTGAGTGAGAATTCTCACTCACTGAGAATTCTCCCTCCCTTCCCCCAATGTTTCAAGCAACTTGCATTCCCTCATTTGCAAACTCGCTGGCTGCATGTCTTATTTTATCTTTTGAATTTTGAAAGGTTGCCAAGTTTCAGTCTGTTTCCAGATAAAGGATCACAGGAAGGAAAAACAAGGTCGCTTTTGAATTCATAAAGCCCTACTGTGCAGATGAGGATTGTTTAACCTGATCATAGCTTTCTCCAATACGGTAAGGTATGTACTACATTTTTATTTATAATATCCTAAACAGCTTCTTATGCCACACATTTAGTGGCATCTAAAGGTGAAAGAAGTGAGGATGATTTGCAAAGATAGAAGGCTATAGATTCTAATGAACAGTATTGGCGTAAATTAGATTTAGCTGTGTATCTTTTTCCTTCTTTTCTCATGTCATTAACTGGCAGAATTTTGCTGTGTTTCTTAACCTTGGCAACTTGAAGATGTGGCCTTCAACTCCCAGAATCCCCCACCACGGCATGAAGTCCACCCATCTTCAAGTTGTTGAGATTGAGAAATACCGCCTTTTGCCTTTTCTCTGTGGGTATAACATTACTTACTTGAAATGGAATAGCATGTGGGATATGATAATCTATTATTAGGGATTAGCACTATACTAATATATATGCAAAGGAATTATCACAAGGACATCTACAAAGATTTAACATATAAAAATGCAGACAGTAAATCTACTGGTTGCTTTTGTTGTTTGGCAGTACTTTGTTGGCCAACCAATTGCCGTGTTTTTCCCCCTACCTGATTCACTCTAAGTGGCAAGAAAATGACACAGCTGCCACCATTTAATCCTATTTTACACTGCAACCATGGATGTTTTCCCAGTCTGATGCATTCCAGATGTGATACAACTATATAACACTTGGCATTTCTAGCCAGTAAGGTCTTTGGCTTTCCAAGCTGGAAATTGCTGGGCTCTCCTATCTGGAAAGCGCCAGGTTGGGAACAGATTCCAGTCCCTTTCCCAGTTGGTTCCTATGAAGCCTGCTTGTTATCTACTTTCCAAAATCGTTTATCTTTTCCCACCACCGTTTCCAAACAAGAATACAGAATGAGTTTCTCAGTGGGACGGTGCCCCAGTTGTTCCACTTACGTGTCGCCGTCTTCATCCTGTTGCAAAAGATGAGATAGATCTATATTCTGGATCTCTGCCCGAGCTTGAGTCAGTTCCCCCGGATCTACGTCCACAGATAAGTCTGCATAACTCCCAGGAAGGAGGAGACAAGCATTGTTTTGTTCCTCTCTCAGCCAGGGGGTCTCCGAGCTTGGATAAAGATGGACAGCTTCACTGGCAACCTTCTGGATGGAAATTTAAAAAAGAAAAGAAAAGGTAAACAGGTGTTGGAGTGAAGCTGATCTAAAGGTAGGTGTTTCTCTACCTTCTCTATCTCTGTCCATGATCCTTGCTAACCTTTCATGCCTAAGGAAGGATTAGAACTCACCAATGAAGATGAATAGACATGTCCCTGGATAATGTTGCGGTATCCAATCTGAGTCAGTCATCGAGACCCAGAGGTTTTGTCTTGAGCTTTTGGAATCACCCTGGAGCCCATCTTCAGGGAACTTCTCCCCAATATGAGTCTGAAAGCTCAGAAGACAAAACCTCTGATCCCGGTGAGCGACCCAGATTAGATATTGCAAGAATAGAACTCACAGTCCCCTGTCTTCTAGGGCAGCATCTTAACTTGTCATGTCCCCGTTGGAGTCTGACTCCGAGGGAGAGTTGGAACAGCTGACAGAGAGTGGGAGGATGGCTCTGGTGGTTGTGGAGGAAACTGGGGAAGGGCACAGGACAGGTGGGCATTTAGAGGAAGACCTAGGCCCATCCCCTCTTCATCCTAGGGCATGCAGGGAGAAACGGGAGTGGCATGGTCTATGGGGGAGGAAGGGGCCCTGATCACCTTCATGGCCTGTAGCTGGGAGCACTGGTTAAAAGGACAAACTTCACATGGCAAAGTTGCTGGAAGCAAAGTGTGCATTCTTGTCACAGTTTATCTGTGTTTTGGCTTCCTCCCAGTTGTGGTTGCTACGTTATCTGGTAGAAGTCTGCAATTAATCATCCTTGCCTGCCGTAGTTATTCCTTCAGTGTGGTGAAGGTTTTTTATTTTGAATTAACTTTACTTTGGGTGTGGATTGCATTTACTCCCTCCATAAACTGTTTTCTTTAAGAGTTTGATATCTTGCCGAGGATAATTGGACATTGGGGTCAAGTTGGAGGCATTAAAGGGACTTTCTTCTATTTTTGTGACTTGATTATTTTTGTGTCATGCCCTGGGTCATCACATAACCACTACACCAAGCTGTCTCTTCAGATGTGTTGCTCTCCTATCTCTACTTCTACTTCCCTGCTAACTGATCCATCTTCACAAAATGATGCCCCAAAGTTTCCTCAATACAAGCCCACACAAAATAGCTAGATGTTGCTACATTAATCCCAAAGGTGCTTTTTCAAGAGGTAGCTGGACTTTCTGGTTTTTCTTTGGAGGCGTTTCGCTTCTCATCCAAGAAGCTTCTTCAGCAGTAGCGTCCTTCAGAAGATTGTTCACCTTGGCCTTGTAGTCATCAGTGTACATGACCTGGATGACTGAGAACCTCCATAGACATTTGCTGCATTCATGCAAATAATAATGATGACCCAATACTCTGGCTCATTGTAAGAAACAGTTGTGCTCATGGTTGTAGGAGCGCTTCAGTAATGAGAACCAGGCACCTTCTTCTATGGAAGCACACATTGTTTATTGTGGTGCTGAAAGCAGCTGAGGCTAAAGTGGGTGAAGATGCAACTCTTCTGTGTATTAGAATACACTTCTGGTTGGATACAGTAAAGTAACTGCTTAGATGTCATTGGGCTATGTCTCTAGCTTAAGCAGCATCTTCTTTGTCAGTGAGATCAGGCATGGGATGGATTCTATGGAACGATAAAGTGCAGCCACCAAAGCAGTGGGATATATTGAGAGAACAAAAAAGGCATTCCATGAAGTTGCTTTCCATAGAGTTACCATTGGGACGAGACAACTTTCTGCAGCCAACACACCCTGGCTGTCTTGCCCTGGCTGATTCCCCCTGGTCAGTTCACCGCGGTCAACTCGCTATGGCATAATTCAACACGGGATAGCTCAAGAGAAGAACAAGCGAATCGCAGTGGGTTTTGTCTTGTTTTAGGTTTGAACCTTGAACCTAAAGCAAGACAAGGCCCTCTGCAATTCGTTAGACCCTCTCTTGAGTTATCCTGCATTGAATTGTCCACAGCCAGATGACCATAGCAAATTGTCCTGTTGTGAGTTGGCCGGGGCAAGTCAGCGTCAGTGAGTTGTCATAACCCCAGCTACAGTCATGGGTCTTGTCTAAAACCGGCCTTAGGTACCAGATCCTACACCTGTTGCTAGTATCTTCTGGAACTGCTGTCTTCATGGAATGCCTTTTTGTTCTCCCAATGTATCTTCTGGTCTTATCATCCTTCCTTTGCCTTTTAAATATTTCAGGACTGATTCCGTAGGGTTTATTTTATTTTTTTTCTTAAGTTTCCAGGTGGGTATTCAGGAAAGGGAATGGATACTTGGCTTGGTTTTTACTTGTCCAAACCAGCACCATATTTTCTCCTCCGTTCTACAATAGTTCAGCTCATCTGGATAGCACCTGGATAGGGAAAGCGAGCCCAGACTTATCTACTTTGCAAATACATCTGGGCGTCATTTTTTTTTTAAAAAAAGAGAGATACATAACATACTGCTTTCTCATCGTCCTTTCCAAAGATGTGAATTGCACTTTGGAAAGGCTCCTGGCACATGTTGAAAAGATCACATCTGCACATAATTCTCAGGATTCTCTTTTGAGAAGCAAATGGCTTTTTGCAGCCAGCTTGAGACATAAATATGGATCCACTGCTAAATACTCCCCACCTCCAGGAGCTCATTCTATCCCACTTCCATCTCTCCTCATCTCACCTCATAATTTACCGCTGATGTTATCTTGGAAGCGTACACTTCCCCGGGGCCTCCGGGACCTGCTGCCCCATAAATATTGGTTTCCAAGGGAGGGCAGGGGCTCATCACATCATACTGGCTCCCTTGAGGCTGGAGATGGAAATCGTTGCCAGGGTCCACACTCGGGTAGTGGAAATCTGGAGAGTAAGCTCCTTGGCTGGAGGCATCTGGTTGCCAGGCAGGAAAGGCAGCAACTGGATACTGGGGAACTGTAGACTGTCCTAGAGTCGAAACGCCTTTTTCTGTTGTTCCATGGGGCTCTAAGAAAAGAGAATTGGGGAAGTCAGTGTATAAATTTGATTTCTTTGGAGAAGCACTCAGATCACTGTACTCAGGCCCACATTTAAGACCTTAGTTATCTGCTGCAACTGTCTAACTGTCTATATAACCATCTTAGTCAATGATTCTGAGTGGATTACAATTCCATATATATATATTTGTATATATATATATTCTCTCTATATATATTGAATTGTAAGCTGCTCAGGATCATTGTCTAAGACGGGCAGCTGTAGAATTTGAATACATACCTACATACATAAATAAAGTCTTGAGTCTACCTTGCAGGACTGTTGGAAGGTAAAAATGCAGCGGAGGAAAACCTCATTGGGTCAATTTGCACCCTTGGAGGAAATGTTATTAAATACATAATAGTTAATCGATAATCCTAAGTAAAGACCCAATGGAACTTTGAGCAATAAATCTGCAATAAATCTACCTTGCCCCGTGAATAAGTAATACAGGACAATCTCTGTATTTTAAATAGTTTTATTGGGATTTTAAACAAGAAATATAGAAACTAATAGAAACCAATGCTTAGAAGGAAGAAAAGTAGGAAGGAAAAACAAAGCCAGAAGTGCAGGGAGAAAAAAAAAATTCTGATTTTCTTTTACAGCAGTTATAAGTGGAAATTAACTTCTTACTTGATGGTTACAGCATGGCTCTCCCTTTTTCTATAGTCATATTTTTAAATCATCAAAACCATATATCAAAAGTTCATTCCCCCCCCACACGCCCCGTTTCATGCACACATGGTCTGTAAGGATTTTCCAGTCAGCATTAAACTTAATGTTTTTACTCTGATCAAAGGTGTCAATTTGGCCAATGACCTTAGTGTGTTTGATAGACAGTGCAGGAAGCACAAACATGAGGCTGAGGTAGCTTTCTCCAATAAAGGATAATTAGTTTAGCATTCACAACTGTGGTAACCACCAGAGACAGTCTTGTTATTGTCTTCCAACTGAAAAATCCCCCTCAGCAAATCATCCATCTCCACTTTTGAAGTCAGACGTGGCAACATCTGCCTGGGGCCCTTAACAGTCTAACCAGATCTTAAGTGGGCAGAACTTGTGGTTCAATTGAACATCTTCCATTCTGAGGGGTCCTTTCCTGCAGACGTTTCATTATCCAAACCAGTGGCGGATTAAGGCTCACTGGTGCCCTGAGCACTGACAAATCTTGGTGCTCTCCTCCTTTGTGCATACGGTACATAGAGTACAAAGGAAGCCAAGCTTACTCTACCTGACTCTGTGGTTTCTTCCCCAAACCCCCAAAACTTTAACCTTAGACTGTCTACTATTGACCTCACCCCTTTCCTAAGAGGCCTGTAGGGGGCGTGCATAAGCGCACCAACGTGCCTACCGTCCCTGTCCTATTGTCAGTGACAGTATCCTTCCCCTGCCACACCCACCAAGCCACACCCACAGAACTGGTAGTAAAAAAAATTGAATCCCACCACTGACCAGAAGTCCAGTTCCCCCACCATAGCCTCTCCTCCTAGGGCAGCCTCCTTTTCCCTCTACCTGTCCTAACCAAAAGCCCTATGAATTGTGGAGCTGACGGGTGACAGGGAGCCACAGCAGAGGGATGAAAGAGCCACAGGCAGCTCCAGAGCCTCAGGTTGCTGACCTCTGCACTATACCAATTTGACAGAGGTGGGATTCCATTTTTTTTACTACCAGTTCTGTGGATGTGGCTTGGTGGGCGTGGCATGGCTTGGTGGGTGTGGCAGGGGAAGGATACTGCAAAATCCCCATTCCCTCCCCACCCCACTAACCTCCGTTCTCCTGTGCAGGGCAACCAAAGAAGACCCAGCCAATAAGCTGGGACTCGGGAGGCAGAGAAGAGATGGGGGTGGGGCCAGTCAGATGTGGGATTTGCCGGTTCTCTGAACTACTCAAAATTACCGCTACCGGTTCTCCAAAATGGGCCAGAACCTGCTGAATACCACCTCTGCAATTTGAATTCCCCAGGCAGCCTGAGGATTACTGAAAATTCTGTTACTTGATGGTCACCCAGGCTGGGAAGTGTCCAGGTTTAGCAAGACATGCTGAAACAATGTCCTAACCTTATTGTCCTAAAGCAGAGAAGAAATCAAGAATGACTCTGTGTCCTCCAAGAATGTATTTCCTTAGCAGCGAAAGATCTAGGTTAGTCCTTGACTCAAATCACAATGGAGCCCAAAATTTCTGTGACTAAGCGAGGCTGTTGATAAGTGAGTTTTGCCCCAATTTTATAGCCTTTTTGCCACAATTGTTAAGCAAGTCACTTCAGCCGTTAAGTGAATCCTGCAGTCATGATGTGAATCTGGCTTCCCTCATTGACTTTGCTTATAGAAAGCTGGCTGGGAAAGTCCAAAAAAGCGATTATATGACCTTGGGATAGCGCATCTGTCCTAAAATACTTGCTAGTTGACAAGGGGGATTTTGACCAGGGGGATGCTGCGACGGTCATAAGTGTGAAACCCAGCCCTAGGTCACTTTTTTTCAGTGCCGTCGTAAGTTGGAACAGTTACTGAATGAATGGTTGTAAGCTGGGAACCACCTGTAGTGGCAGTGCCATTTTGAGAACCAAGCAATGATTCTGCAACTGTAAGATCCAGGAAATGGATTAGAGAGATTAATAGCTCGAGATTGAGAGATAAAGAGATAGATAATGAGTTAAATCTGAAACTGCTTGGAAGTTTATTAAGTGACCTAAGCCCCAAATAAATTATTCTTGCTGCAATTTAAGTGGAAAACCTTAAGTACTTCAAAGACTTTGCATAATCTGTTAACCTCCAGATGCACTGGAAAAAATCTCTGCTCTGTTGGAATTGCTGGAGTTGTTAAGATGCCAGCTGGAGGGTACCATGTTTAGAGAAGCTGATGGAAAGCTAAATTCACAAGAGCATTTGTGACAGAGATAAAGCAATTACATTCCCAGATGTCTTGAGTCCACTCACCTGGCCAGCTGGCTTCTAAACCTCCTGGCGGGATCTGAAATGGGAATAGAAAGAGAGAGAAAGTAATGAATCTGAGAAAGGCAATAAGACCAGGCGGGATCAACCCTCTCTGTTCAAATGCATTTGAGGAAGGCCCAAATAGTTCAGTGATTCCACAAAGAACCTAGAAAGAAACTGAGTTGTGTTGGTAAAGTATCTCAGTCATCCAGGAAAAGCAGTGGTGGGATTCAAATTTTTTTTACTACCGTTTCTGTGCGTGTTGCTTGGTGGGCATGGCGTGGCTTGGTGGGCATGGCAGGGGAAGATCCCATTCCCTCCCCACCCCACTAACCTGCTTTTCAGCTCCGTTCTCCTGTGCAGGGCAACAAAAGAAGACCCAGCCGATCAGCTGGGACTTGGGAGGTGGAGAATAGATGGGGGCCATGCCAGTCAGAGGTGGTATTGGCCGGTTCTCTGAACTACTCAAAATTTCCATTACCAGTTCTCCAGAACTGGTCAGAACCTGCTGAATACCACCTCTGAGGCAAAGGTGTCCAATGGGACAACTCACTACGGCCAACTTGCCATACCAACTTGCACAACCAATTCACTACAACCAACTCACCATGGCTAACTTGTCACAGGACAACCTCGCTGCCGAACCATTCAACAATTCAGTTTAATTATTTTAAATAGCTTTAAAAATCTTTTCATTTTTGCCCTTCGCATTTCAGTTTGTCCTTCCTTTGGCATCCTCTCTTATAACGGTTCTATTCCGCTATTTCTTCGATATTGGTGTAACTCTTGTCCTGCAGCAAATTGGCCATGGCGAACTGTCCCATGGTGAATTGGTCATAGAGAGTTGGCCATGTTGAGTTGGCCGTGGCGAGTTGGCAGGCAAAGGTGCCTGAAGGTTGAATCATGGCAACTGGACAAAATTGGTCCAGTTGCCATGATTCAACCTTCAAACTGAGTTGTGGTTTGGAGAAGATTGTGCATGTAGTGAGGGTGTCCAGGTGTCTTCAGCTGGTGACTCACCAGGGGTGCCGTGCTGTGGCTGAGAGCAGCTTGTTGTTGTCTTCGTTGCTCCAGTAACTTCCGCACAGTCTGAGGTGGTGGCCCTTTGCAGCCTGTAAGCAGACCAAGAGAATTGGGGTATTAGAACTGGGGTATGTATGGGGATTACCCATAATCTTCCCTTGAGGTATATAGTCTTCTGGGCAACTGCCCAGTATCAGACTTTAAGCTATACAATTTGGGATGAACACCCTTTGAATAGGGTGGGAGGAGAAATGGATTTCCAGAGATAAAATGGCAGACTATAGGAACCATTAAACACTGCTCAGGTGACCCTGAGGACACAGATACACCTCCAAGTGCTTCAATGACCCTCTAAAAGGATGGAAATAACCAGTTGTCTTCCAGGAATATAAATCCTTCCACTCCCCACTATCCTGTCAAAGCAGGCCCTCTTCTCGGCTCCTGTAGCCCAACAAGAGCAACGAAGATGATTAGGGGACTGGAGGCTAAAACATAAGATGTACATTTGCAGGAACTGGGCATGGCTAGTTAAGAGAAGGACCAGGGGAGACAGGATAGCAG